GAGGGGCTGCGACACTCCTGTCTGCAGCGGCCATCCGTCTCTGACAGCAAGTTGCCCCCTCCCGCGGTGCCGCCGCCCCCACTGCGCCAGCGCTTTGGGGGGGCTGTCTGGAGAGCCGGAGAGCAGGTTGAAGTCAATGCGCGCAGTCAGAGCCAATTAAAGTATGAGAATCTCTAAATAGTGTCAGAATTCAGCCAAGCCCTCCCGGTCTTACAGTATGAAGAGTCGGGGGTGGGGAGCGGGCGTTCGCCCCGGTGCCTGGCTAAACTGGGAGTCCTTAGAAAGAAAACCCGGACGCCTCACCTGTGAGGCGGCCAGGTGAACCTGTCTGCGCTGTCCCAGGGTGGAAAACCTCCCAGCCGCCCCCCTGAGTCCCTGGGCGAGTGTGAGGGGCCGCTGAGCGCCGGGAAGCCGCATCCCGGCCGGACCTTTGGCGCGCGCGTGCCCTGTCGTATTTTCTTGGGGGCAGCGAGGTGCGCAGCTGCCCGGAGAGCTGGGCAGTGGCGGCTGGACCGGCTGGACCGGCTGGACCCCGCTTCCTGAGCTGAAGCCAGTGGCTGCTGCGAGCCGAGCAGAGCCGGGCTGCTCGGTGGGCAGGGGTGCGCGCCTCTGCCTTGACGCCCGCCCCTTTGGGGTGATGGTGAAACCTCTCTTGTGCCCCAGGAGCTGAATGCTTCCCAGCCTGTCACCCCCAAAATGGATTCTGCGAGGATGACAATGTTTGCAGGTAACGGGGGGCTCCCCAGAGGAGGTTTGTGGGGGGCTGGACAGAATTCTGAGGAGTCAGGGTGTGGGGGGTGGTCTTGGCTGCTGGGCTGTAGTGCAGTTTTCTGGACCCCCAGGGAAGCTAGTGGGGAGTGAGGGGAGAAGGGGGGCAGCCGCTGCTTCTGCCTGCTTTCTGGGAAGGGGCTAGCCGGGGCCCCTGGCTAGGTGGGACCGCTGCTGCCGCGCCCCTCAGGGACCCCTGCCCCACAGCCTGCCTCGGCTTGAGCGTCTCCGGGCAGGTCATGGTGCTTGCGCCTGGGCGCCGCCAGCCTGGCGCTTGGAGAAGCCCTTCCCCCACGAGGGCTCTGGCTCCGCAGAGAGCAGCCAGAGCACCCTTTACCTGTGCCCCCACGCCCCACCCCAGGTGCCAGCCCGGCTGGCAGGGCCCCCTGTGCGACCAGTGCGTGACCTTCCCCGGCTGTGTCAACGGACTCTGCGTGCAGCCCTGGCAGTGCACGTGTGAGGAGGGCTGGCACGGCAGCCTCTGCGACACAGGTGAGCCCCCGCGGCACACAGGTGAGCCCCCGCGGCCGCCCGGCGCCTGCAGGTGGGCGCAGCTCTGCTCCCCGCCGCTCCCGGTTCAGGGAGGGCGGGGGCTGCCTGCCGAGGAAGGGGCCAGGATGGCAACGCAAACTTGACAAAGTGGGGGGGCAGGGTCCACCCTAGACCCTGGGGAGCCTGTCCAGGCCACCAAAACTGGGGTGGGGGAGGACTCAGCATCCAGGGTTCAGACCTCAAAAATTCACCGGGAGGCAGCTGGGGAGCGACCCAGTGGCGCGGGCGGGCCTGGGCAGAGGGGAGAAGGGCTGAGCTGGAGCGTGGGGCAGCTGGGGGCGGGGACTGGAGGGGTCTGGCGGGGTGGGGGGGCTGGAGGGGCCCAGAAGCAGGTAAGGGGCAGGGTGGTGGTATCTGTTGCTGTCAGTTTATGCCACCTCCACCCCCCGTTACCCCAAGCAATTCTGAATTGGCTGTGGTTGCATTTTTAGGCTGCAAAATGTTTGTCTGAGCCCTTTCTCTTCTGGCAAAGCCTCCCCTGAGGCAGCTAAAGTCCTAGGAATTACTCCCAGGAGCTTCGGGGCTGCTGTGGAGGGTGAATAGGGAAACTGAGGCTCACGACCGGCGGAAGCAGCTCAGACCTCCCCAGTCCTGAGGCAGGCAGCTAGAAATCCCATGTCCAGCCCAGACGTGGTCACCCTCTGCCTCTAAGACCCTCCTTTGGGGAAAGCCTGAGACCCCTGTTGTCACCCTGGGCAGTGGACTCTCAGAAGCCAGCTCCCCTCCCCCGTCTGAGGTCCTGAGAGCCCCCAGTACAGGATTTCCCCCACAGCCGTGGCAAGCTCCAGCCCTCAGTGACACCCTTTCAGCAGCCAGAGCTGTTTGGGCACCCAGACGGTCCCCGAAAAGCTGCCATTGGACCCAGGGTGTCAGCCCCCTTCCCAGCCCCAACCCAGGGCTCCCTGCTGGGATTTTCCCAACCCGTGGTCTCCCCACTGGCTGGACAAAGGCTCTCAGCTGGGGTCTGCGGGAGGTCGGGCCCCAGGAGGGCCCCTCCCGGGCTGGGGTCTCTCAGAGCCTCAGCTGCGCCGCAGGCCCCAGAGCCCCGCAGCCTCCCGGCAGCCTCCCACCGCTGCGGCTGCGCCACCCCACTGAGGGGCTGCAGGCCGGCAGGGAGAGGCTGCCGCGGGCACTGGCGGTTCTTCAGGGCCAGGGGCAGGGCGGCCCGCTCTTTGGCTTCGATCTGAGGTGCGGAGTGGCATGGAGCAGGGGCAGGGTCGGCGGCCGCTGCGGAGCCTGGTGTCTGCACCACAGGCGCCTTCCTCGCCATCAGGATAAATCCTCTTTATGTTCCCTTGCACCAAGCCGCTGGGCTCAGGATGGGCCTTCAGCGGCCTTATTGATTGATGGCCGCCCCCTCCACGGGGGGCTGGGAGGGAGGGCTCAGGCCTCTTTAAAAGAGGCAAGCAGCCTGCAGCGGCGCTCGGACCCTCACGCCGGGGCTGAGGGCGCCCACTTGCCCTGTAGCAGGGGAGGCAGCTGACCGGTAGCAGGGCAGAGCTCGAAGTCTCCCGCCAGGTAGCGGGGCGTCCCTGGGTAAGTGGGCGAGGGTGCTGAGAGCCCGGAGCCCTGTGTTCAGCCTGCCCCTAAAGATGTGCTTGAGGCGCGGAAGCCCCGGGGAGCAGCCCAGGCTGTGGAGCCCCCTCAGGGTGCTGCACAGGCTGGTTTTGCTGCCTCTTCATTAGGGAGCCCCTTCACCCGGACCTCCAGCGGAGACCCTCAGAGCGCTGGCGGTGGAGCCAGATGCAGAGGCGGGGAGCCGACGAGCAGAGGCGGGGCCCACCGCTGCCTGCGTCCACCCGAGATGGGGGGGCCGGACCTGGGGAGCTGGACATGAGGACTTGTGTAGGGAGGCAGGCTTGGGGCGCTCAGCTCAGCACAGTTTGGGGAAGGCAGGGGTCTGCTGGACTTCCAGGAAGGCCTGGCTGTTTGTGCGTGGCCAGTTTCCTGGGCTGCAGTTTGCTCCCTGCAGGATTTTGGGGGGGGGGGGTGATTGTACACTCTTACTCAGGACTCACTGGCATGAGCAGTGGGCTCAGGCAGAGCCCTCTGGGGTCTCCCTGCCCCCACTCAAGAAGCTCCTCCTTCCAGCCTCTGTCCCCCACCTCCCTGGAGGAGGGGTGACCAGGTCCGCTTTGCTCCCCCCAGATGTCGGGGCCTGCAGCTCCGCCCCCTGCGCTAACAACGGGACCTGCCTGAACCTGGGTGACGGCAGCTACGAGTGCTCCTGCCCGCCCGGCTTCTCGGGGAAGGACTGCCAGCTCAAGCGCGGGCCCTGCGTGGTCAACGGGTGAGTGTCCTTCCCGGCCCGCGGCCCGGGGGCTTTGCGTCCCGCTTCACGCCGAGCCCCTTTCCGCCTGGCCCCTCGGACCCTAGCCCCACTGGAGGCCAAATAAGAGCCCGCCCCTGGGACCTCCGGCTGGCCAGTCTGACGGGAGAGGGGTCTTCTCTGTATCCCCCCAAAGACCCCAAAGGCCGTCCGCATTCTCCTGCCGTCCCAGGACGGGCGTGTGGGTGGTGGTGGGCGGGACGGGGCTGGGGGCGGCTGGCCGATGCCTAAAAGTGTAAGAGGTGGGAGTTCAGCAGGGCCTGGCTACTTGCCCACTTACCGGGTTGTTGGGTTGCTCTGGGGGGACTGGCAGTGGGTTTTTCTGGGGCGTCGGGGAAGCCGCTCGGCGGGGGGTGGGGTGAAGGGCCTGCAGCGCGCAGGGCGGAGGCCGTCGGCTGCCCCCCAGGGAGGCCCGGGACGCAGGGGCCGTGGGCGCCACAGGAGGTGGTGCCCTCTGTACCCCGCGCCTCGAGGGCGGTGCAGGCTCCCTGTGGGGCCGGAGAGACGAGAGCTTGGGCGGGTGGTGGGGCGCCCGGTGCTTTCCTCCCGGGAGTCAGGGCCAAACTGTGAAGCGGGCTGGCGTTGCCTGGCCCCGGGGGGGCGGCGGAGACCCCCATTCAGGGTGCGTTCAGGGTGGGTTGGGGCCTGGGGCCCGGGGCCCAACCCCGTTTCTGCCTATTGGTGAGCGAGACCGCTGCAGTGTTCCGGTTTCCTCTGTCACAGACTTGACCGTCTGTTGAAATAGAGCCCGCGACCCCTGAGATTCTTAGAGCTAGCTCCGGGCCACCTCCCCGCAACCCTGCTGCTTTCTCGGGCTCAGCACCCCTTTCTCCCCGGGCGCTCGGCATGTACCACTGGGCAAAGGGCTGCTCGCTTCACTTCGCTGCGCTGCAGGAGCCGCGTCTGCTGCCCGCTGCGCCGGGTGGCGTGAGGGCGGGCCCCTGGCGAGGGACACAGCACCCACAGCCCGGCGCAGGACGAGGGTCAGGGCCGGCCCGGCGGCACAGCGAGCGCTGGCTTGCCGCTGACTCCGCTGCTCTCAGCCTCAGTTTCCCCACCGTGCAGTGACGCGCAATGGGGGGCTGGGGGGTGCCGCGGGAGGCGGGAGGGGAGCTGGGCACCCGCCAGGCCGGCGCACTCCAGGTCGGCGCTGGTGGGGGCCGCACCCCACTCTGGTGGCGAGCCCCGAGAAGGCAGGCAGGGCGCGGCCGGCCGCCGCGCGCCCCCAGCCCAGCCCCCGGGGCCCTTTACGGTGTTGCAGCTCCCCCTGCCAGCACGGAGGCACCTGCCTGGACGACGAGGGCCGGGCCTCGCACGCCTCGTGCCTGTGCCCCCCCGGCTTCTCAGGCAGCTTCTGCGAGATCCTAGCCGTGCCCAGCAGCTGCACCCCCAACCCGTGCGAGAACCAGGGCATCTGCACCGACATCGGGGGGGACTTCCGCTGCCGCTGCCCGGCCGGCTTCATGGACAAGACCTGCAGCCGCCCGGTGACCACCTGCGCCACCGACCCCTGCCTGAACGGGGGCACCTGCCTGCAGCACAGCCAGGTGAGGTTCGAGTGCCTGTGCAAGGCCGAGTTCACGGGCCCCACCTGTGGCAGGAAGCGCGCGCCGGGCCCCCAGCAGGTCACCCGTCTGCCCAGCGGCTCCGGGCTGACCTACCGCCTGACCCCCGGGGTGCACGAGCTGCCGGCGCCGCAGCCCGAGCACCGCATCCTCAAGGTGTCCATGAAGGAGCTCGGCAAGAGCACCCCCCTCCTGTCCGAGGGCCAGGCCATCTGCTTCACCATCCTGGGCGTGCTGACCAGCCTGGTGGTGCTGGGCACCATGGGCGTCGTCTTCCTCAGCAAGTGCGAGGCCTGGCTGTCCAGCCTGCGCGCCCACCACGCGCTGCGCAAGAAGAAGAACCTTCTGCTGCAGTACAGCAGCGGGGAAGACCTCGCCGGCGCCGGGCCCCCCGAGAAGATCGACATGGCCACCTTCAGCAAGGGGGCGGCCGAGCGGGAGGTGTAGGCGCCCCCGCCAGCCCCGCCCTGCCTGCGGGGCTCCGCAGGGCCCCCTCTCTGCGGTCTGTGTTCCTCTCGGTGGTGGAATTTGCTGTCCTTTGTGTTGAATCTGGTGAACGCTATGCTTACATGTATTACCTCTGTGTTGCCGTGTGACAGACGCGTGCCCAGACCCCCTTCTCTCGTAATGCATGATAAAAAATAAGAAGAATTTCACCTTTAAACTAGTCAGAGAAATAAGTATGTTATTCTAAATGTAACGAAAACCCAAAAAGACCAAAAAAAAACAAGGCAACAGAACCAGGGCTGGGCGGGCGCCCCCCGGCCCTCGTGAAACCGCCACGCATGCTGTGCACGACCCGCCACTGTGAAAAGGGCTGCGATCTCCTCCTTGGTTAGTTCTCACGCGCACCTCCGCCTCGCTCGCACGCACATCAAGCCCGACACCGAGACCCTTAGCGCTTTCTGGTTGAGTTGAATTTTGCGGAGGGCAACGGCCGTGTGTCAGGCAGAGAGACCCCCGGGGTGGCGCTGGGGCCCCCAGCCGTGGGGGCCCCTCACGCCCCCCTGCCCCACCTAGGACCCACCTTCCCCTCCCCCCCCAGGGACCACCGAGGTCCTCTCTTGCTCTAAAGTCCACACTGGGAACGAGGGGTTAGAACCCCGACCCTAAAAGTGGGATGTGATGGGGACTCGGTCCCACCCCGGGGGCCGCAGGTTTCCGCCTACCCCCAGCACACTCGACACACTGCGACCGATTCGAGCTGCATCTCCAGTGGGGCCTCCAGGCCTCTTCCCGCTTGGGAACAATTGGCCCCTTGAGTCCCAGCGTGCCGGGGGCCGCTCCGGCAGCCCCCCCCGCCCCCCCAGCACCTGCCCCCCCACGGCCCCTCTAGATTAGAGATGTTTCTTGTCCACAAGTGCCCCGGCCAGTCTGAGCGGCAGCACAGCCTCACCAAGGGCTGGCGGCGGGCCGCGCCCCTGGGGTCCCGGCCTGATGCGCCCTGCAGCCCCAGCCTTGCTGTGTTGCTGAGCTGCTGACCTCAGATCCTGAAAGACTAGCCAGCTTCTGAATTGTGAACTTGATTTTTTTTTAAGAGCATCTATCTTTTTTGCGAAAATGGAAGGAATTGGGACAGAGCTCTGTTTGGCGTCCCAGCCTCGGGGCGGGCCCCAAACAGCCCTCCGTCACCGGTTAGGGATATTTTGCTTCTTAAAGTATTTGGATAGGAAGCGATACTCTTAGCTGCACTGAGTGTTGCCTGCCGTGTTTACCGCGCTCCCAGCATTTCTTTGTCAGCATCGTCACTCCCACCCTCTCCTCACCCAGTCACACCCCACACACCGCCATCGCCCATTGCCATCGCCCATTGCCATCACCATCGCCACCCAGGTCACCCGTCGTCATCCGGATTCAAAGCCCGATTCAAAGTCCAGCTGTCATGTCCCCCCACCTCTCGACGCCCCACCGAGCCGATCGTCCCCATCACGCCCAGCCCCTTATCCTCCTCCCAAGCACCCCTGCACCCCATCACCCTGACACCCCCAGAGGCTCCCCCTCAGCCTTGAGTCCCAATCGCCAGCATCAAGCCGCTCCCACCTCACCCCAACCCCACCTGTTCCCTCCCAGTCCTCCATTTCCAGAGTGGGCCTCGACCCCCCCAACCCGGCCATCCTGGCTGCTGCCCCGCCCCCACCCCAGGGCCTCCCCTCCCCCTCACCTGTGTCAGCTTTCCCACGCCCCACCCTCCTCCTCCCCCCAGTCACTTGAACCATCATCTCATCCACTTTGAGTTTGTTTAACAAAATAAAAATATAAAAAGACAAAAAATAGAACTGTTGGCGGTGCTGGGCGGCCCCCGGCCGCCCGGCGGCTCTCAGCGCGAGACCAGCGGGCTGCTGACGGTTCTGATCTTCAGGGCCCCCTAGGGCAACATCCTCAGATTGGATGAAATGATCAAATTTAACTTCCCTCTGTTCAGGAGGTGAAGTCCTGCACCCCGCCCGCCCGCAGGGGAGACCCCGCCTCTCGGGATCCACTCCCCCTCCCTCCCCACCCTCCGTCCTCCGTCCATCGGTCACGAAGCGCCTCCAAGCCGCTGCTGCGTGGGCGCAGGGCTGCAGGCTCAGGGTCGCCCGCGGGGGGTCCTTGTGTCCCCCAGGGCCAGCGCAGTGCAGACACGTCGGGGAGGGGCGGCCCCCAGGCGCCCCGGGCTCCGCGGCCTCTCCTCCCCCCGCGACCAAGGATGTCCCACCAGCTCCCCCGAACCCCCTAAATTCTACTGTGCCCACGTATCCCGCGAGATCAGAACAGTGTCCGCAGTCCGCAGCCACGGTCTTTGCCGCAGAAATGGTCCATTCCATCCTCTGGGGGGGACCCAGGTTCTGCTGAGAGTGTCGGGATTTTGGCTGCCCACCCACACACGTGTGTGTTTGGAGTAGTGTGTAGTTTACGAAACAAACGGAGAAGCTCAAAGACAGCTGTCTAAGACATGACCACCAATTCGGTCCCCAAATTGAGAGGCGAAGGCGAGATGATTGTTTTGTAACCAAAACACAAAATGTCAATGGCGCTCTTTTTAGCTTTTCCGTTTACCACTATCCAGGCAAGCAAAAAATGTTTATTGAAAAATAAACAAAACCCAAGGGCTATTGGTGTGTCGCTTTCATTTACCTGCGCCGGTTACACCTGTCCTGGCCCCGGGGATTGGGGCCCGCCCCTCCCGGGAGCCCCCTGTCACGCCCCCTCCAGACCTGCAGGTGCGCTGGGCTCCCCGGTCAGTGCCTGTGATCTCTCCCTGCTTCCCTGTCCTGAAGGGCAGCGGCTTGGGGCATGAGGGCCAGAGGGGCTGGGGTGAGGGGCTCCCCTCCCCGCACAGGAAGGCCCAAAGCTGGGCTTCCCGACCTCTGGGCTGGGGGTGTCGGGGGCTGGCTCTAGGCCTTCCCACACTCAGTGAGGGGACGCTCGCTGCCCGCCGACACATCTCCCTTCCTCTGTCAGGGACCGTGAGGCCCCCTCAAGGCCCACAGGCTTGTCCACCCGCCCAGTAAATCTGCCAGGCAGATCCCCTGCCCAGCCCTCCTGCCCTGCTGGCCTGGGAGGCAGCTCTCGGGTGGGGTCCCCACTCACGTCCGCCCACAACCTGGTTTTCCCTGCCTGAGTCTTCTGTGCCGGGGTGCCACCACTGTCCACCCAGCTGCCCAGCCAGGACCGGACCCCACTGCCAGGGCTTGGGCCCCCTCCCTGCATTGACTACTCTGGTCTCCTCTGGCCTGGCCCCCACATGGCCGGCGGGGGGTGCGACCTTGGGGAGAGATGCTGGTCTGAAAACCATGAGGAATGAGCGGACCGTGTCAAGGTGACCACGCACATGTGTCTGAAGGGACGCTTTTCCAGGAGACATGAACCCCCAAGTTCCCTGCCAGCAGAGAGATGGTGTCCTGGGGTTGCTGGAAGTGGCGAGTTGGTGCCCGATGCTGGCATGTGCTGGGGCGGGGTCTCTGGGCCCGACAGTAGGCTTCAGAGCCCAGGAAAGAACAGCTCAGACGCTTCCATTCTTCTCCAAAGCTAGGAGAATGCCAGACACTGCCCCACACAGGGAGAGCAGCCCCTCAAAATGCTAACAGGTGGGAGAAGCCAAGGGCTAAAAGATGCAGGATGGAGCAGTCTCCCGGGAATGGAGCGTAACTGACTGGTAACCGTGGGCTCCCCAGGCACAGCCTGCGGCAGCGCAGGGCGGAAAGGGGCTGGGCGTGGGTGCCCCCCACCCCGGCCAAAGTCAGCAGGGGAGCTGGGCAAGCGGTCCCCCACGGGGTGCCCCAGGGCACAAGCAGGGTGGGGGCTCAGGGCATCGGGTGGCCCACAAGGAGGGCGGCCAGGGGGTGGGGTGGGGGAACGTGCGTGAGAACTGTTGTTGAGAGGGACCCGTGGACAGTGCCCAGATGTGGGGACCCCACAAGAAATAGCCAGGGAACTCCACAGAGATGGAGTCCGTGGGGGGCAGGTGAATAGGAGGGTCTGGGAAGATTGGAGGGACGAGAGAGAGAGGAGCTGACTCTGGGCAGCTGAGGACTCAGCCCTGCAGACACATGTTGGACCGGACACAGCAGTGCCAACCAGTGGAACCTCAAGCCCCCGCTGGGCCCAGAACTGATGGTGAGGCCAACAGATGCCAGGGAGAGGGCAACTCAGCGCATGCCTGATGAATAAGGTCTGTGGCAACGCGGGAACACACCCCTTCTCAGTGGCGTAAAGCACCTGCGTGGCAACTGCGGCTTCCTGTTCCGCTGATTGGGAGCCACAGGCGGGCCAGGCTGTGCCCCAGGTACCACAGGTCCACAGCTGGGAGGGAGAGGCGCTGCCTCTGTACCTGAGGCCAAGGGCTGGCCCCTCCCAACCCTGCCAGCCTGAGTGGGGGCACAGATGAGGCGCAGCTGTGAGGTGTCAACGTTTAAAAAGGCTGCACGGCCTCAAATTAGCATTTTTTATTTTCCTGCTATCACCAGCCCTCATATCCCCTCTGGCTCCCCTCCCCCGCTTACAACCTCAGAAATGGCAGTGACAGTCTCCCCTAGTTTCTGTATTTTACTTTGTGAATCGGCTGCTACGTAAAGGTCCTGCATCTCTCCTGGCTCTACCGCACCTTCTAGGCTCCTTCCACTCGTAAACAGCTGCTTGTCTTTTCTGGCCGCTGACAGTACTGCTGTGTGTGGCTGGACCACGTCTTCTTGACCCAGTCTTTGACCACCAGCACCTCACTGGTTTCCATGTCCTAGATATTGTAAGTAACAAGATCGTAGAGCATCCAGATTTTTTAGTTAAAGTTCTCACAGTACTGTTTGTTAGAGACTCCTTTCCCCATTGTGTGGCTCTGACTGCTTCATCATAAATTAAGTAGTGAAGTCTGTGTGGACTTATTGCTAGGCTTCTGATTCTGTTCCACTGATGCATGTGTGGAACCATCCCCCCCACACCATATTGTTTTGATTGTTGTTGTTCGATAGTAT